CAGCCCCTTTTGGATGTCAGTGTAGTGATTTCTCAGAAAATTAGGAAACAACCTTCTTCAAGACCCAGTAATACCACTCTTGGGTATATATCCAAAGGATGCTCAATCATGCCACACAGACATGTGCTCGACTGAGTTCATAGCAGCATTGTTTGTCATAGCCAGAACCCGGAAACAACCTAAATGACTCTCGACCAAAGAATGGATAAGGAAAATGTGGGTACATTTACACAATGGAGTACTATGCAATAGAAAAAAAATAACGGCATCTTGAATTTTGCAAGAAAATGGATGGATCTAGAAAACAACATTTTGAATGAGGTAATCCAGGTACAGGAAGACAACTACCTCGTGTACTCACTTATAAGTGGTTTTTAAATATAAAGCAAAGAAAATGAGCCTACAAATCACAATCCCAGAGAACTTAGAAAACAATGAGGACACTAAGAGAGACATACGTAGATCTAATCTACATGGGAAGTAGAAAAAGACAAGATCTCCTGAGTAAATTGGGAGCATGGGGACCTTGGGGGAAGGTTGAAAGGAAGGGGATAGGCAGGGAAAGGAGGGGGACAGAGAAAAATGTAGAGCTCAATAAAAATCAATTTAAAAAGCCATTGAAAAAGAAAATGTCATGCACTTACACAATGAAGTACTACTCCACAGGCAGAAAAACAATGGCATCTTGAAAATTGCAGGCAAATGGATAAAACTAGGAAAAAAACCATCCTGAGTGAGGTAACCCAGACCAAGAAAAAGATACCCAGTATGTTTTCACTCATAAGTGGATTTTAGATGTAAAACACTGGTAAGCAGGCTATAATTCACAAGTCCAGAGAAGCTAGAGAAAAAAGGACCCTGAGAAAGACTCACATGGAGGGCCCCAGGAAAGGGAAGTAGTAAAAATCTCCTGGGTCAACTAGGAAGGGTAGTAGAAGAGAGGGGATAGGGGAAGGAAACATGAGGGCTTGATATGGCTGTGTTGGGGGAATGGCAGATAGGGAGAGCAACGAAAGAGATATCTTAATGAAGGGAGCTATTGTGGGGTCAGGGAAAAACCAGGTGCTAAGAAAATTTCAAAAAATTCACAAGGATGACCCCAGCTAAGACTCCTAGTAATAGTGGAGAAGGTGCCTGAACTAACCTTTCCCTATAATGAGATTAGTGATAACCCAAATTGTCATCCTAGAAATTTCATCCAGTTACTGATTGAAGCAAATGCAGTGGTTCACAATTAAACACTGTTCTGAGCTCCTTGAGATTAGTTGAAGAGAGAAAGAATCATATGAGCAATGGGGATGAAGATCATGATTGGGAAAACCACAGAGACAGTTGACATGAGTTAGTGAAAGCTCAGGGACTCTGGACTGACAGCTGAGGATCCTGCATAGGACTGAACTGAACTAAGCCCTCTGAAAGTGGGCTTAGAGCACATATGTCACTTCATCTGTTGTGGGGGCCTGGCAGTGGGACCATGACTTATCCTGGATGCATGAGCAGGCTCTTTGGAGCCCATTTCCTGTGGAGGGATATCTTTCTCAGCCTTGATACAGGGGGGAGGGGTTTGGTCAAGACTCAATTTGGTATACCAAATTCTGTTGACTCCCCAAAGGGGTCCTTACCTCACCTGAGGAGTGGATGGGGGTTGGACAGTGGGGGGAGGTGACAGGGCTGGAGAGGAGAAGGGAGGGGGAGATGGGGCTAGTATGTAAAATTAAAAATATTTTAAGTAAAAAAGAAGAAAACTTTTAGGCATTTAAAAAGCCACACTTGCATTTCTACAGAATACAGCTCTAAAATATAGATCCCTGGAATCTTTTAGAAAAATCTAGAATTCGCCTTATTTTCTTCCCCCCATAGAAAATGTTTTTTTTTAATTATCAGAAATTACTAAAGAAATTCAAACAAAATTTTGTTGCCTGTAAAGGCCAAGAAAATACTTCCTCATGATATGATGGACTGGAACCTTCTTCAAGATTGATCAGTGAAGGACAGCAACACACAGACTATTTCAAATAGAGTCTATGAAATCCATCAAAGGAGTAAGCAGACAGCCGGGAATGCAGAGCACAGAGGAAGATTCAGCTGCATGGATGACCCGGGGTAGTGGAGTCCTTATCAGAAATTTTGATCTTAGGTTTATTCTTCTTATTACATTATCTAATTTTGATTACATGTTTTCTCATTATTGTAATGTCTTTTTCATTTTTGCTTATTATCTTTGTCTTTTTTCCCTAATCCTATGGCCCCTTTCTCTTCATCTTCATCATAATCCTCTTTGGTGCTTTTTCTTTGTTTTCAATTATTAAATAATGCTTCTTTTGCCATTTCTTTCATCTCCCGCCCTCCTTCTTTCATCTTATCCACGGACTGATTCCACAATTACTCTAAGTACGTTTTAATTTCAAAGCACACTCTGTATTACTTTTTGTATTTACTGCCTTGTGGTAACTGGTGATGTATTAGTGCGTTTGAATTAATTTTGAGCATACATTTCTACATCTGGTAGAGTTAAGCTTGGTGCTGCTACAGCAGTTGGTTTAATCCTTATTGAGTACTACTGCAGACTTCAAGATCAGGCTGTTGACCGGGATGGGGGGAAGGGAGGAAGGATGAATATGGGATCAGGGAAGAATATATTTCAACTAAGGGAGTCATTTTAGGGTTTATAGGAAACTTGATTATATATGGGATCCCAGGTCCAAGGAGAGATTCCCAGATTGTTCTCTGGACAGAGGAGAGGGTGCCTGAACCGGCCTTGGCCCATAACCATACTGATGAATATTTTGCTTTTATCACCATAGATCCTTCATCTGGCGATGGATGGAGATGGAGGCGGAGAACCACATTGGAGCACCGGACTGAGCCCCCCAAGGTCCAAAGGAGAAGCAGAAGGACGAAGAAAATGACGAAGGACTGCGAGGGATGCTATCACCCACTGATACAAGGGGTCGGATCTAATGAGAGTTTACCAAGGCCAGTTGGACTGCGACTGAACGAGCACGTGATCCAACCAGATTCTCTGAATGTCGCCGGTTTTTCTGAATGTGGCTGGCCCGGAGTCTTTCTGAGAAGCCATTGACAATGTCACTGGGACTAGTTTCCTCTGCATATACTGGATTTTTGGGATCCAGTCTGTTTGGATACTCACCTTCCTGGACCTGGAGGGAGGGGGGACGATCTTGAACTTCCCACAGGGCTTGAAACCCTGACTGACCTTAGGGACAAGGAGGGAGGAGGAGAGGGAGGGGGGAGTGGGAGGGTGTTGGGAAGAGGGGCGTAAATGGAAACTTTTATAATTTAATAAAATTACTTAAAAAAATAAAAATGCCATAATGAAATCCAAAAAAAGCCATAATGAAATCAAAAAAAAAAGATTTCCAAATAAAACAACAAAATATTAAAATCAAAGCATATACAAACTTCAACACAGAAACAAACAAAAAACAATGCAACATGACTTTTCCAAATGATCATAGCTCCTCAGTAACAAAATAAAAATACTTATATTGGTAAAATTATATTAGATGTCAAAAAGTTATTAACAAAAATTAGCAACAACCCGAAAGAAAGTATAAACAAGTATATGAGTGAGACATGAAAACTAACCCAGGACCTAGACAAGGAAGCTAGTAACATACAGAGGAAAGTCAACAACATGTATGGAACTCAAAGACAGGATGGAAAAGACATAAGCATGGAAGAGAAGTTCATCAGGAAAATTCAGAATTTCAAAACAAATAGGACTATTAGAAATAAAGATTTCAGTAACTCTTAAACTGCAATAGAAACTATCACAAAAAACAAACAAATAAATAAACAAACAAAAGATAGACTATCAGATAGAGGTCAAGGTCAAGGGATTACATTAAAACACTAGTAATGGAAAAAAATAAATGAGCATCCTAAAACTCTGGATTACTATCAAGATATCAAACACAAATCTCATGGGATAGATGAAGCTGCAGTAAAATCAAAAGCACAAGATTCTAGTCAACAAATTTGCAGCAGAAAATTTATCAAATCTGTATAGACATCCAAACAAAAGAAGCCTTTAGAACCCTAAAGAATCGTCACTGGAGAGGAACAGCATCAAAGGATATTATAAGCAAATGGTAAAATATAATGCTGAAGGCTGACAGGGGAAAACACAACCCAAAATGTAAGCATGTCTGAATAATATCAGATCCCTCACTAGCAGTCTTAAAGACATGAAACCACAGAATGATACATTTTATCGCCCCAAAGTAAATGAGTGTCAACAAATATTTCTATATCCAGCCAAACTATCAATTTGCAGCCACCAAACAAGCACTGCAGAAAATGCTTAAAATAATGCCACAGACTGATGGAGATGGGAAGATTCATTATGTGCCAAGTTGCACAAGCATGAGTCCCCAAGTTTCTTTCCCCAGCACCAATGTAAAAGCCAGGCACAACAGCAAACATCTGCAACTCCAATGCTGGTGGAGGCAGAGACAGGCAGATTCTTCTTATTGGGTACCAGTCTAACCAAGTGATTAACTCAGGGGCAGTACTAGATATTCTGTCTCTAAAAGTAAGATGAAGAGAGATCAAGAAAGACATACAAAGTCAAAACTCTGGCTTCTATCTGTACACACTGTGCACACACTCAGAGACATGCATAACACACACACACACACACACACACACACACACACACACACAGAGAGAGAGAGAGAGAGAGAGAGAGAGAGAGAGTCCTATATGCAGAAAAGAAAAACAAGTCTTTTCATGGGAGTACAACAAATAATATATATTTTATGAGAAAAATAAATGACCAAGGAGAGTGAGGAAAGAAACTATCATGCCCAAAACAGAAAACCTCTAATTCTCTTAGAGAAAACAAAAGAACCAAAAATAAAATTCAAGCAGCACAAAACACATCCAATTGAATTAAATGAATTAGGAGGCCTCTGTTAATAACAAGGTTAAACATAAATGACTTTAACACATCAATAAGAAGAGATTAGCTGGTGTTCCTGGCGGGCGGCGTCTTGTCTCCTTGTTGCCGCTTTGGTTCTTATTCCCGGGACCTCTGGGCCCAGCATCATGACGTCTGCCTTGGAGAACTACATCAACCCAACTGTTGCTGTTATCACTTCTGATGGGAGAATGATTGTGGGAACATTAAAAGGTTTTGACCAGACCATTAATTTGATTTTGGACGAAAGCCACGAGAGGGTGTTCAGTTCTTCGCAAGGAGTCGAACAAGTCGTATTAGGATTATACATTGTGAGAGGTGACAACGTAGCGGTCATTGGAGAAATTGATGAGGAGACGGACTGTGCGCTTGACTTGGGGAACATCCGAGCAGAACCTCTGAACTCCGTCGCACACTGAAGACTCAGAGTGCTTAGATGTCTGTAAATCCTGTATAGAAACTGCTTGTCCTGAAGATGATGTTGAGATTTTTTTATGAATGTGTAATTGTGGATTTTGACCTTGTGTTGGTTCACTGTAATATGTAAATTTAAATATTCCTAAATTTTTATTGGGAAACATTGCCTAAATTAATAAATGTGGTTGCCTGGTTTATTTTTCTACTAAATGATATAAAACTCTAAGGATCATTTTGAAAACTTAGCAAATACCGTTGCTTTTGGTAATTTAATATTTATGGAAAATTGGCTGTAAAGAGTACTTGGGCTATTATTATAACTTATACATGCAAATAATAGTAATAAAAGAGTCACATTTCCTACCTTTTTTTAAGAAAATAACTAGACAGTAAATTGTCTTCTACAAGTACCTGAGTCATACCTGAGATGTTTATCCCACTGCTCTATAGATCTACGGTGGTTGAAAAACTCGATCCTAAGGTCTAAGCGACGTGAATATACAGTTTGGTTGAGTAATGAAAAACTTGTAAGCTTAAGTTGCAACGAAAATGAATAGGAGTGACCAGGAGGATGTCGATAAATCTTTAGATGCCCAGTAAGGTCCCAGAATTCAGTATCTGAAAACAGATCCTGCGAATCTTAAATACTGTTGTGCTGCTAAATCTTTTTAAAAAAAAGCATGGGGAATATCTGCCATTAAAGGAGTTTTGTTCAGTGTGGGTATTGACTTCAGTCCAGGGCAGCACTCTGCTGTCTCTCCATTCACTCGTTCCATTGAGCTCCTTTCATAAAGTTGTCTGAAGGAATTCATGGAAGCAGTGGTGCTGGTCATGATTTCATGCTGTACGTATTTACAGTTTTATGTGTGGGCTAAAATGGGTATCTTTGGATAGAATAGAAAATGTGTATTTTCTTGTAATTCAAATAAAATCAGTCTTTTTTTTAAAAAAAGAAGAGATTAGCTTACTCAATTTAAAAACAAGATCCAATGATCTACTGTATTTTGAGGTTGTGAGAAATCATGTTAGAAAGATATTTTAACATGTGTGTTTATTGCTGAACTATTTACAATAGCAAAGACATAGATCCTGTCTATATCTTTGATATCCATCAATTAATGAATGGACCAACAAAATGTACTATTATAAACAATGGAATTTTATTAAACTATAAAGAAATAACCGGACAAATAACAAAATTTTGATCACATTATATATATGTATATACATATATAATATCTATGTGAAACATGAAAGTAGAGAGGGAAATGAAAGATATAAAGGGACACATGCAACATACAATAAGGGAGTAATCAAATACAAGAGATAAAAGAACATTTGGATCAAGAATGCAGAAAGGAGAATGCAGGAGAAAGAAAGGTCACCAACAAGAATTGGAGGGCAATCAAGAGAAGGCTGGGGGAGTAAATAAGAAAGTACGGTGATGTATACATATGAAAATATCACAAGAAATCCACTCCCTTATATGCTAACTCAAAAATGTAATAAAAAGGTTAAAGGCTATTCAAAACATAGAGACAAGACAAAAATAGAAATTTTCTGAGACTAACCATTGCTTTATAAAATTTCACTTTAATGATACCCAATATTTGAAAATGGTTGGCTTCAAAATTTCCAGTGGGAAAGATTTATATTAGTAACAATGCAACAACAGGGATTTTTAAAAATGGCAATGCTTGTTCTGCATTAATGATATGAATCAATTCAGCTCATTGGAGTATTTTGCTTAATAAAACTTAGGCACAACTTAACCTTAGCAGAATGAAACTGTATGTATTTTGTGATTCTTCTTTAATCTGTTGATTTAAATGTATCAAATGAAGTTGTGTCTGAAGTTACACGTGAAGCAATCAATCTAACTGGAGAATGACACAGCTGATTTTAATAAACAAATAAATGAGAATATTTCCCAATTAGTGCCAGTAAACAAAAACTATGCAAAACATTACAAACCCACAGACATTTAGGCAAAAAGGTTTCATTTTAAGTTTTTAATCTCCAGTTTGTTAAATATGCAGAGCACAATTCTATTTAAGGTGTTTGCATTTTGGTTTCCATGGTAATTTTGAGAGACTCATCTGAAATAATTTTTTAAGGTGAGAAAAAAATCTTACAGACATTTTAAGTTATAATGTTGTTAATTTCCATAATTCATATCAATATAAAAAGTCATCCAATTAGCACAAGTAGTGTATGCTTTCTAAAGTTAGGGTCATATTCTGATGTAGACTTGCTAATGTTTAGATAACTTGTACATGCCCAGTACTTTTTAATATATTTTTATTAAGATGAAGATGAGAAGATTGGTCCCATTACTGAGGAATAGGTGTGAGACTCTTTCTGTTGAGCAGCACGTTGTGGGAAGAGAAAGATTTTTTTCTCAGAAGGGCCACGGATGATATTGGCATAGAGAACTCCTGTAGACAGATTATTTGAGTGAAGTGGATGTTTCTTCCCAACACTCAGTATCACTGTGAATGGCATGACTAACCTGACAGAGTAGAAAGGGTATTCTAGATAATTATTTCATCACATTGTGTTGGAACATCCAAACATTCAAGAGAGATGGTCTGAAGATTCTCCTTCCTCTGATGAATTTCCAAAGTACTGTCCTTACATCTCACACATGACTGGATGAACAAACTACCATGCTCTGAAAATTGATCACGAAATTCTGAAGTCATAAAATAATACACAACTGGATCAAGACAACAATTCAGATTTGCAAGACACAGGGAAATTATGTGGAAACACAGAGTACTTTTAATAAAAGAACAGTTGGAGAAGACGTGTTGCTTCACCATCATAAAAAACGGGAAGTTGAGATGGTACGGCGTGAAGCACACTATGAATACCACTGCACACATTAGGACCATCCTCAAAGCCTTTTTTCTCTCTTTAATATTCTGGGGTGGATCATGGAATTCCTGTAGAGATTTTCTTGTTTTCCATGTGCAATATGTAATAATTACAACAGGCAATACAAACCCTCCAAGTTCAGCAGCCGTTACCATGCCTATGGAGGAAGCCATACTAATGTCATGAAGCCCTAAATCAGCAAAGCAGGATTCGCTGTTGTTGGCTAGACCCGCACTTCTCAGGATGGGGAGTGGCAAACAGGCAGTCCCCACGACGACCCAGATGGCAACACTGATGCCCACGTCATACCTACGCTTCCAGTTTCTGGCTCTGAATGGCTTGAGGAGAAAGAGGCATCTCTGAAGGCTGATGCATGTCAAGAAAAAAATGCTGGCATACATGTTGAGATATTTCAGATAGAAGCAGAGCAGGCAAAGAGCCCTCTGGAATGGCCAGTGACGGTTGATATAATAGTAAATCCGGAGAGGTAAGGACAGGACATGAGCAAGATCTGCCACTGAGAGGTTGATCATGAAAATGATGGCCTTATTCTTCTTGCTGATGAAGCGGCACAGAACCCACAGGGCTGCACTGTTAGCCAGGAGACCAGGGATGAATATGAAGATATAGGTGGTTGCATACAGAGAGTACTGAAATGTCAGATGTGTGACATTGCAATTACTCTCAGCAGTGCTGGTACTATTGCTGCCCATCTTGAACATCTCAGTATGTTCATCAAGTTGACCTATAGAGTTATGGCTCCTGTCCAAATATATAGGTGGTTGCCAAGAGGGTGTGCTGAAACGGCATTTGCAGATCAGTGCACTTAACTGTCATACTGTTTGTGCAGTTACTTCCCAACTTGTGCCATTATGTTCCTTCCTTAGGAAAAGCCTTTGCATGGTGGTTTCTGTGGAAAATAGAATAAAGATAGGGTCAGAGGCAGGTCAGCACATGTGAATATGCATATTAGTTGTATTCCTACCAGAGGTGGTTAAATGTCATCTTTCATAAATTTGAAAGCTCTCATCTATGTCGAATTAAAATAGTGGAGCAATTTCCTAAGAGATAAATAGTAGCTAGGGAGATATTTTCAACAATGTAAAAGATAGTTATTTTGACAGTAACTTTAATTTAGTTTTTACTCTGACTGATAATCATCAAAATTTCACAGGTACCCAACAGCCAAGATCTTATGACCCATCAGCCCCCAGACAAATATCCCATCACCCTTGTGAAATTCCATATTTCATTTGTATACCTGTTTCTGTCCAAAAAGTTTGAGATTTAACAAAGTTATTGTCATCAACCCAAGCATAATGAAATTTTAATCCGTTTTCAGTAGCTACCTTATAAATCATTAGATGGTTGCTAAGGTGAGCTATAAACTCTTATTAACGGCACGTGTATTAGGGGTCTAAGCAGGGGCTGGCAGAGCACCAGGCTTTAGGAAGAATAAGGTCTCAAGAAAAACAGGGCTCCTTTCTTCAAAATTTGACTGAAGGCAAGGTTTGTTCTACTAACATCTTGTTAACACCTTTTATAAGTTCATGCCACAAAAGTTCTGTGTTCATTAACAATACCATGGCAGCATCAGACACTCATGTATATTGAAACTATCCTTTCAGTATGTCAGTCAACTTCCAAAATGCATGAAGCCCTAGAGGGTATCCTTTCATAAATGAAGCAAAAGGGGGCTGTTTCCCTTTAGCTCTGAAATCCAGTGAAAATTATTCATGTAAATTGTTGTATTTCCAGTGGTCATAAATTTTGAAAATGTCTTTCATTCACTTAGTGACTTCAAATCTGTTTCTGTGTTGTCTCAGCTTAGCTATTCCTGCCAAAGACAAAATAGTCTACGCCTTGCTAGACAGAAAAGCTCTTCAAATATCTGAAAATAACAATCATGCCTTCCCGAAAATCTTCCTTATCCAGGTTAAACATTCATTTCCTAATATGACATTGTCCTTGTTCTTGGTTTTGTTTTATGTTATAACTTTACTGCTTTTGGCCAAAAGCCACCGTGGTACAACTTATTTCATCCTTAGAATGAACATTTAACTAATAATCATTTGATGGTTTTTAGGAAATATGTTTTATATATCTGATTTCAAACACAAAAGAATAAACAACATTTTAATGCTTCGTTGTACTTTTGAGTACTTGAAAATGCAGTTAGTTTGCTACACATTTATAAAGTTAAAGAAAACATGAGACAACATTGATGGCAATAAGAATTCAAGTGGAAAAGCGAAATACATATGTTGCAATGCCTCTTGAATTAGGCTGCAAAGTAATATAGGGTCCTAGAACCATGGGTACAAACCTAGCCACAGTCAATCAAAAGCTGTAAAGATGTAATCAATTCAGACAAAGCCCATACTGTTTCAGAGCCTACCTGATGTCTCTGCAGTGAGTACATGTAACTCTTGGATAAACTGTATTTACTTAGCTGAAAGATCAGTGCAGTCAAACAACCAGGTCATTCAGGCAAACAGCTACTCTAATTTTTTTTTTGAGTTGACTATGCTGTTGAATCAGGCAATTGGCCCAGTAAAGTGTAAATAGAGAAACACTATCACCTTTTTATGATTTTCTTGCACTATCTGAAATAATTGATATTGTGTATTTTTATATTCAAGCTAAATTTTAAAAATACTTGCAAACACAAACCAGGTGGAGTGTTCAAATACAATCACTTAATGCTTATGATAATCTTTGGTTTAATTATAAAATGAATAACAATTACTAAATACCTATTTTGTACACATTCTATAATAAATACTCTGCGTATACTCTATCAATCTCTGACACCAGTGTTATGAAACAATAAGCTACAATGGCTGATTTGCCAGATGAACAACCTGAGACTTCTAAAAGGCAAGGCTCACTTCCACAAATCACAAAAGTAATTTTTCTGGCTTCCCACTATCCATAATTCTGATTATTCTCTTTAGTGAGCATCATATAATATTTTCGGCATGTTGAGGTCACTCTCCTTTCCAGGTGGTTTTCCTGCGGTAAATAGGAATCTCCTACATGCCTAATACTCATCCTCTTGTTGCATATTATCCTTTCAAATAAAAGTCTAGTAAATGGTTTTGACTGTTGGAAAGGTTTGCTGACTGTTTGTTGGGTGAATGATTTTTTGAAGGACAAGTGAATCTGAGAGACAGAAAGTCTCTGTTGAGAGGAAGTGAGTGAGTGGGAATGACGGAGTGTCTGGGGATTAGGATTTAGCTGTGATGTTTGACTTGACCACCAGGTGTCAGAAGTACACCAATGTTCAAATACGTTAACACATGAAAGGAATTTGAAACTCCATTAATAGAAAAATTAAAGGTGATCAATTGGCATCCTGTGAATTTCAAAAACAGAATCCTTTCAACAGTATTTTAGAATGCTTGGTTTACTATTGTTATCAGCTTTCACACTTCATAATCATTTTCTAAAGGTTGCTTGGCTTCTAGATGTATTATAGATTCCTAAATTATAGAGCTATTAGGAGTCATCTAGATAAGAATCAGTTACTTTTCAGAAGAGAAAAAAAAAACAACTTTAGAAAAAGAAACCTAAAAGTTACAAACTCACACAGAAAGTTAGTGGTAATGGCTGAACTGGGGTCTCTGGCCTCTCACCACAGAATAATAGCGACTTTTCCAGGAACTCAGAAGATGGAAAGCACATTTTTGTAATTACATGATAACACAAATGTTCAGACATGAACCAATGCCAGGATTTAGACCACTAACCTTGACAGTTAACTGTTCTAAAAAGAGGAATTGCTTCCTTCCAAAATTTCCAGAGCAAATATACTATCTTTAAAGGAATAACTCTAGTCCCTGAAGGATTAGATTGTGTAAGAAGCCTCCTTAAAAATACTTAATTATGTTGTTGTCAATCTTTCATTATTTCTACACATAAAGAAATGAGTTCCATTAGAAAACAGAGATAAGCAAAGACAAAACAAATTTTTATTAATATAAAATGCTCAGTCTTAGAGTCTCAATACAGTCTGGTTTTATACATATACAGAGACATTTATATAAACAAAAGTTTCCAGACATAACACTTTCATTCATAAACTTTGCAGGCTGTTTTTCTATGTATACTGATTTATAAATGAATTCATAAGTAGCTGTTTTAATTAAATTTTACTTGTATACACACACACATCTATATCTATATCTATCTCTCTCTCTCTATATATATCTGTAAACATAGTTTTAACCACTTAACCACAGTTAGGATAAAATTCCATGTCAATAACAACTAAAAGATAATTTTTATGGATATTTACATTTTAATTAAAATTATCTAGTATAATTTATTTAATTAATGGACATTGTAATCAATTACCATTTTTCTTACTATTAGAAACAATGGGAAAGCCCGGAATGGTGATACCTGTTTACAGTCCCAACGTTGGGAGGTTCAGGCAGGAGAATCAGGAGTTAAAGTTCATCATCCTTTACATAGCTATGACAAGGTTAGCCTGGGCCATGTGAGATCTTTTCTGAAAAAAATTACAAGTTATGATAAACATTATTACACAGTCATCTTTATATAGTTGAACAACTTGTTTCTTAAATTTTAAGTTGAATTGCTAGGAATTAAGTAGGAAATTCAAATTATCCAAGAAGGCTTCCCATATGAAATTCCAAAGTTCATGTTCTTTTCTGTAACATCACAGTGTCAAGCATGTTAGTGTTCCAAATAGATGAAATCCTGTCTATCTGGTGGAATATGTAGCTAATAAAGACTCAATCGAATAACATGTGACAAATTGTGCAAATGTAAGTTAAACATAGCTGTATACATTGTCAGATAGTAAATCAAGCTGAATAATATATCCTTCACCCCATATAGCTATGATTTTCAACAGAGCATTTAAATTTTCCTGCTGGTAGTTCTCCAGTATTCTAAGTATCATTTATTATTTTGTGATGGTCCATGGCAGATCTCCAGAATGGATGGTGACTCATTTCTTAACACCCAGCTAAAGGATCAGCTGTAGTTAGACAACTATAACAGTTATCTTACTATCAAGATGGAAAAGACTCTTGAAAGTTCCAATTTAATAGGCTTATAACCACAAATCCAAATACTGTAGCACATGACTCTCAAAGTTAAACATGCTTCAGAATGATTTAGAGTAAAGTCCTATCCAGAATTTTTCATTCACTATATCTGAAATGGGGACCAATAATAAACACTTCTAATAATTATCCCACGTGATCACTGTTTGAAATTACTGCCCACACACACTGCTAATACAAGCAAAAGTACTTTTTCCTCACTAATACTGAGAATCGTTTTACTCACCATTTTTTCTTTTCCACATTGGATATAAGGATTTTTTTTGACAAGTTCATGGTCTAATTTCCATCAATTTGTAGTATAATCTGGCATGTTTATCTATACTTAATTATCTTTCTCTTCTCAACACTCTGGAAAAAATACTACTGAAAAACATTTACGGGAGATTTTTTTTCAGTGTTTAAGAGCACTTGTTGTTCATAGGACCTTAGTTCCATTCCCAGCACACATTTGGAGGGCTCACTGTATCCTTGTGCACCAGGCACAAATGTGGTGCACAGACATACATTCAGGCAAAATACTCATACACATAAAATGATAAAAGAAAATATAAAAAAATTCGAGACCAAAATACTACACCATGTTTCTGTTTTTAAAAAATACAGTCGGGCTCTCTGTTTAAAAAACGAATCTTCCATAATTGGAAAACAATGTCAGTTATCTGAATTAGTTATTCATTACCTTATGCATCTTTGAGAAAAGCTTAATGAACTTATTTCTAAAGTGTCTTGTACAATCAGTTCCATACAAAAGCTATTTTTAATGTTCAGAGTTACCACCATGCTGCGGCTTAAGCACTTGTATAAACAATGTTTCCCAAAATTCTTACCGAGCTAAGACAAAACATGCATTATAGGAAAACAAATTACGTTGTCTTAAACTTCCTAGTCCTCCTCCAGTGTCAGGAACTTCAAAACAGGAGGTTCAATAAAAGTCAAAGGATACAGTGATCTTAAAAAGACTTTCTTTGGCTTCAGAATGTAACTGAGAAAAACACTTTGCTCATTTGTGGCTGATTTTTGTTTTAACAGTAAAATCTATTTCTGATTTTACCACCGCCCCCTCCCCCAGAATTTGGAAAAACTCATAAATTTTGTCCCCAAACCACCTATTTCAAATTCTTTTTTATCTGGTGCCAGTGTAACTTAAATTCAGTTTTCTGGTTCTGTTTATTTTTCTTCCTGACAGTCAATATACTATAGTAGTACAACCGGAGACTATTTTCAGACAGACCTGAGTTTGAAAGCAAGTATCTGTGCTTATGAGTTGTTTTTCTTGATTTATCTTATCTACAGTCTCGTAAATTATACAATGTGCACTAGTGTTTATATGTTCAAAGAAGGAAGGTAATTTTCACAATGTTTGCATCTGGTATATAGTAATGTCACAATGCATGCTGCTTTTATTCCCATTTATTTTGTGAAATTCTTCTGAGTCATGAAAGAAGACAAAACATAAATACATTTCAAAGCCTAGCTTAAGTTTCTTGTAGCTCAGGAAAATACTCCTGACTTCTTAAGCCCTTGTTGACCTCAATTTTCTTTGGATTTTTGATGTATCTGCCAACTTACAACTTCATGGATACCATATTCCACAAAAAATTTACTAAGAATTTCTAATGTACCTTATGCACCTGATAACTTTTAATTCTCAAGATAGCTCAATATTTGATCACTGGAAGGTACATAATTTTATATTGTTTGGGTAATTGATTTTGAGTTCTAACCTCCTTACCAAGCATATTATCTTACTATTTTTGAAACATAGTTCCTAGTCTCTTAAAAGTGTGAATTTACATGATGTTATATGATCGTTCTGACATATACTCAATTGATACAACACATGATATCTTGAACATGTTTACCAACTAGCTTTGCCTCATGCATAACCACCAAATTACAATATTTCTGGTTTTTTGATTTTAAAATATATAGGTGGCTATAATCTGCATCTCTTACTTAACTTCTAAGTAGTCTCTTTACTTCCAATGAAACTCTTGGAAAATAAGCTGGCATTGATCTGCAGTGGAGTTCTTCAAAGTAAAATATCACTTGCAATCCAAGTGTAAACAACTAAACAAACCACTCAAAGGTGAAAGCAAAAGAAAAAAATAAATGAATTCATAAAGAAATGTTTATTAACACAAGTGAAAAGAAAATGGATATTAAATTAAAATTTCACACCATAAAACATTGAGAAAAAGAATATTTGAAATGCCTCTTAACACCTAACCTTATTTTAAATTAAATATAGGCAAATCAGACATATAGGTGGATAAGTATCTATTACTAAAATGGAATAAGATAAATAACTATATTCAAATATATGTTACCTACAAAGAACAACTAAAATGTATCTTCAGTATATTGATTCAATCTCAGGGCCAAAATGTTGAAACAAATCCACTAATTTGGTAGGTGTGGCATATGCCTTAATTGATGGGTAAACTAAGACAAAATGGTTTCTTGAACTCAATAATTCAAAGACAGGCTGGGAAAAAATAGTAATAAGGGAGATTAATTAATAGATAGAAATTTTGGAATTTAACAAATAGAAACAAATTTACAAATTCTAAAGTAACAGATGCATCAAAATATCACAAGAAAAATACAAAAATGTTTTAATTTACCCATAGAGAGAAAACTTTTTATTAACGGATATATTAAAACTGATAGTATTTTGAAATCTCTGATCTAATCTTCGACATTATAGAAGCATCAATGGAAAAAAATCACTTAACCAAAATCTGGCAATATAAAATGAATAAAATAAAGCATGAAAAAGCAAAAAAGATTAAAAATAATAGAAAAAAACAACAGAACCAAAATTGGTTCTTTGAAGATATAAACAAAATTTGCAAGCCTTTAACTTGTCCAGGAAAAAATTTATGAAAGAAAAACCACAACTTAATAATAACAAGTTGAAAGAGAATACATTATTACAGACAGAATAGAATTAAGGTATATAATAAAACAATATTTACAAAAGTATGCCAAAGTTTATATGATTTACATATTTACACAAACCAATCAAAATATATATTTATTGTTACATTTTAAGAAATGAATGGACTTAAGAAGAAAGTAAACAAAATTAATAATCAATAACCATATCACAATGAAAAGTGTAAGCTCCAATGGCTTATATATGACTCTTAAAGCTTTTTAGAAGAAATAACACTGAAGACTTAACATTGCTTAAACAACAATGGAGCCAAAGTGTTGTGTAAATTAATTGTAATACCTGTCCAAATCATAGCTTCCTTAATTACAGATATTGGCAAAATTATTTTAAAAATCCGAAAATACAAAGAGCTTTTGCCCAACAAGAGGAAAAAAACTAGAAAATGCATACTTTCATATTTCAAAACTCATTTTAAAATGACAACACTCAAAACAAAGTGCCTGGAATATAAGGATATATATATATATATATATATATATATATATGGATTAATAGAATATATTTTAAAGTTTAGAAATAGAGCTTTTAAGTATGTGGTCAAGAGATTTTTCTAGAAGAGTGCCAACAAGGAATGGTAGTGTCAGTGATCGTGGAGCAACTGGATTGCTAGACAGAAAAACATGAACTTGATAGACATGATCATCTTGATCTTTTCGTATTTCAACTCAGTGAAGCTATGATCCATTGGATGAAGCCACTTGTTATTCCCAGCAACAGCTAGCATATACTTGAAATAATCACACAGAAACTGTATTATTTAAATCACTGCTTAGCCCATTAGTTCTAGCTTCTTACTGGCTAACTCTTACATTTAATTTAATCCATTTCTAGTAATCTGTGTATAGCCAAGTGGCATTGGCTTCCCAACAAAGTTTTGGCATGTCTGACTCTGGCCGCATCCCCTGATTCTTTCTCCCAGCATTTAGTCCAGTCCTCTCTGCCTGTCTAAGTTCTGCACTATTAGCTGGCCAAGGCAGTTTTTTTATTTATTAATGATAATCACAGCACACAGAAGGGACTCCCATATCACCTCCCCTTTTCTGTTTAAATGAAAAGGAAGGCTTTAACTTTAAAATAGTAAAATTACATATAACAAAACAGGTATCAAACAAGAATTACAGCTATAATATTTATATGTACTTTATCTTTTATCATAACCAAGGAAAACTATAACTATAAATACTTCAACTTCATCAAAGACTCCAGAAGGACATATTACCTATGGAAACAGTAAGTGCATTATAAACAACTTCCAAGACTCTAGAATTGACAGAGACATCTCCCTGCCTGGACAGTCACCCAAAGTACTTTTGTACCACTGGTGCATCCATCTTCAGCCTATAGGCCCATAATATCCAGCAGACTTTTCCATGAAACAGGACATTTTAATGACAGTTCTGTCCATATTGGCAGTTTGCCAGTCACTTTTTTCTGTATCCTGTCTTGCAGACTCTTTCATGAAGCAGGAACCCTGAAGGATTGTCTCACCTTTAGGCAAGCTCATCAGTCATTTCTCTGCAGGTCCTGCATGTCCAGTTAAGTAGTCCAGGAAATAGCAGTTTCTTGCCCAAATGGCTAACAAACTCCATTAGGAGCCTCTTTGATGTCCATCTTCCTCTTGAAATAATTGGTGCTGCCAAGAGCAGAAGTGCCTCATTGTCATGAAAAGTCCTAATTTTTTAAAACATTTAAATGCCATATTCTGAAGGTCTTTGAAAGATTTGAAGAATACCTACCAAATTGAAATATATGCCTATACATCTAGAAAATATAACTAACATGACTACAAACTTGACTATTGTAGATGAGCATTTATTAACTTATATTTCTTAATTATACACTATATTTTAAAATGAGCTACACAAACACAATACCTTAATCAAGATCAGAAATATATATATGTGTGTGTGTGTGTGTGTGTGTGTGTGTGTGTATAACAGAATTGACCTTAGATTTGTATCCATAAACCAATTTCATACCAATGCAAATTATTCATCTCTATATCTTATCCCCCTTTAAATGTAAACAAACAATATTTGGGAATAGGGTCCAGGGTTCAAGTCCTTGTTTGGGTGTAAGATGATGAATGGAAGTTACAAAATAATGCCACACCAGTTCAAAATTATGAATAATAAAAGGGTTAAATTATTTAAGGGGAAAACTTACAGATCATTTTCCTAGATATCAGTCCTCTATGAGAACAAGACCAGAGTCTAGCAGCTGGAACTGGGAGGCGGAAGCAAGAGAGAGTAGCCACACATTTACAGATACTTTTACAATATATGAGACCATGCCCAAGTGGGCTGGTATCTTAAAGACTATTGGTTGAAAGAGCAGAATGTGCTCCTACAGCAATGGTCCTAGTTATTAAATCTATCTCTGTCTCTCTCTCTCACACACACACTCACAAACACACACACACATTCCTACTATATAAGCTTTTAAGATGATCCTATCTTTTTGATTGTACATAGTACTATAAAATAAGAAGCTGCAATTATCTCTTCTAGAACATAGACATTATAAAAAGATTAGTTTTCGTTATTGATATTTTAATGCATGAACATTGTTTATTTGCTTATTATCCCCATTCTCTCTTCCTTCACTTCTCTTTCCTCTTTATCACCGGTCAGCACAACCCCCAAATAATCTGCTTTTTTCCTTCAGATATATATATACTTTCACATGTATATATATATATATATATATATATATATATATATATATATATATATATAATGCTAAATGTTTTATTCCTCAGGAAAAAAATGTGATAGTCAATAGTCATGTTTCTTAGCCTGGCTTATTTTGTCTAAAAGAATATCCTTTTTTTAATTTTCTTCTTCATGAATGACAAATATTCCCTAATATATATATCATACTTTGTTTACCTATTCATCTGTTGATGGACACCTCGCTGATTCCATGTATAGCTTATTGTGAATAGTGACTAAATAAATATGGATATCTTGGTATCTTTAAATTCCTCAGAAACATACTGATGTGGGATTCCACTCTCTATACTATGATTAATTAAGAAGCTGTTTTGGGCCTATAGCAGGGCAGAACAGAGGTAGTTGGAGAAAACTAAAATGAATGCTGGAAGAAAGAATGCAAAGTCAGTGAGATACTATGTAGCCCTGCCAAAGACAGATGCAGGGAGTGGAACTTTACCCAGTAAGCCACAGCCATGTGGCAGTATACAGATTAATGAAGATGGGTTAGTTGAGGATATAAGAGTTAGCCAGAAATATGCTTAATCTGCTGACCAAACAGTGTTACGAATAATATAGTTTCGGTGTGATTATTTTAGAGCTGAGCAGCCTGGAACAAATAAGCAACTTCCTACTACAAATTAGCACACCTATGTGGTCAACTATATCAATGCAAAACCTGAGAAAGCTTAAAAAGTAATTCTAGACACAAAAGAACAGAGTTAAACACAACTTCTTGGTAGCCAGCATTTTGCTGATGGCATGCTGCAGTTCCTTTAAGAAAAGTCTTCCTGATTTAGAGGTAGAAAAAACAAACAAACAAAATAAGTGTGAGTTCAAAACAGTGGCTTCCTTGTTCACCATCACAAACAACTCTGACTCTTTCAGGATGTCTGGCTACAGAGCATTAAAATAGGGTCTGTTAGCAAAGTACCAAAACTTGCTTAATGGCAACATTGACCCGCTGTGTGACAAAAAATGAGGTAATGTACATGACTCTCAGAGGCAGAAAACATACTTCCTCCATGTTGAACTAGGTGAAGCAAACAGGCAGGGCCATGTTGGCCCTAGCCACGTCCACTTAGCATTTTTTTAAAAAGCACTTCTGAGCAGAAAATTATTACAGATACACAATAAAGGCAAATTCATATTTTAAAAAAGTACTTTAAATAGGTCATAGTGTTGGATAAATGTATGTAGGCTTAAGAGAGAGAAAAAAAGAGTATAGAGAGTTATAAAAAGAAGTAAATTGCTTTTTAAAAAATAAATCATAGTCTTTAAAGAGACAGAGTATAGACAGTCATAGATTAAAGAAATAAAGAAAACTAAGCCACATAGAGATGGAAAATGCACAAAGAGTCTGGATTATGTATATTATTGTGTTTCCTTTGAATTTTTGACTATTAAAGTGCTATGTAATGAGAGACATTTCAT